AAAAAAAAAAAAAAAATGTATACCCACACACACACAGAGTACATATATATACATACATATATATACACACACATATATATTTAATATGCTGAAGGATTTAAAGGAAAACAAATATAAAGTGAAAAGAAATGGAAGATAAAAATAAGACCAAATGGAACTTCTGGAGTGAAAAATACAATGTCTGAAATGAGAATTACATTAGATGAGTTCAACAGATGGGATACTACATAGGAAAGTATCAGAATACTTGAAGACACAGAATAGAAACTACCTGAGAGAGAGACAGAGAGAAACAAACTTTTTCTTCTGATCTTGCCTTGGAGCATGGATCTTGCCTTCTCACTATTAAAAACAAACAAACAAACAAAAAATCCCAACTTGAAAATGAAACAAAATATGTGAAACAACTGCTTTCAGACAATAGAAAAAGCCAATAAAGACAGGTCCTTAAGAGAAGGGAAACACAGGAAGTAAGCCCCATATTCAGCCTAACTTCCTAAGAGGAGACATATTCTAGGTCTTGGTACTAGGAGTAGAACCTTAGGTAACACAGAGATTGGAGTTCAGAGAAGCTGCAGGGATTCTTTAAAGATCCATAAATAGGGCCGGGCTGATTGCCTGAGGTCAGGAGTTTGAGACCAGCCTGACCAACGTGGAGAAACCCATTTCTACTAAAAATACAAAATTAGCCAAGTGTGGCAGCGCTTCTCAGGAGGCTAAGGCAGGAGAATCATTTGAACCCAGGAGGCAAAGGTTGCTGTGAGCCAAGATAGTGCCATTATACTCCAGCCTGGGCAACAAGAGTAAAACTCCGTCTCCAAAAAAAGATCCATAAATACTCCAGGCTCAGTGGCTCATGCTTGTAATCTCACCATTTGGGAGGCCAAGGTGCAAGGACTGCTTGAACCCAAGAGTTTGAGGTCAGCCTGGGCAATATGGCAAAACCCAGTCTCTACAAAAAATACAAAAATTAGCAATGCATGGTGGCTACTTGGGAGTCTGAGGTAGGAACACTGACTGCTTGAGCCCAGAAAGGAGAGGGGCTGCAGTGAGCTCTGTTTGCACCACCGTACTCCAGGCTGGGTGACAAAACAAGACCCTGTCTCAAAACAAAAACAAACAAACAAAAAACCCTGTAAATAGAACCACACATAGGCTGCATGCAGTGGCTCATGCCTGTAATGCCTGCACTTTGGGAGGCCAAGATGTGTGAATTCCTTGAGCTCAGGAGTTTGAGACCAGCCTGGGCAACATGGTGAAAATTCATCTCTACCAAATATATCCAAAAAATTAGCTGGGCATGGTAGTGTGTGCCTGTGCTCCCAGATACTCAAGATGATAAGGTGGGAGGATCGCTTGAGTCGAGGATGAGGTAGGAGGATTGCTTGAGCCCAGGAGCCAAGATCGTGCTGCTGTACTCTAGCCTGAGCAACAGTGAGACCCCACCTCAAAAAAAAAAAAAAAAAAGAGGTAATTAAGTGGGGGAAACAATCTTTTCAACAAATGATGCTGGACCCAACATCGACTCGGAAAAAAACTTAAATATGTACCTGTTAATGACCGGGTGCAGTGGCTCATGCCTATAATCCTAGCACTTTGGGAGGCAGAGGTGGGTGGATCACGAGGTCAAGAGATAGAGACTAAACTGGTCAACAGGGTAAAACCCCGTCTTTATTAAAAATACAAAAATTAGCTGGGCATGGTGGCACACACCAGTAGTCCCAGCTATTCAGCAGGCTGAGGCAGGAGAATTGCTTAAACCCAGGAGGTGGAAGTTGCAGTGAATCAAGATGGCACCACGGCACGACAGATTGGCGACAGAGCAAGACTCCCATCTCAAAAAAACAAAATATGTACCTGCTGATATGACCCCAAATGATAAAACAACCTATGATGTATTCTAGCCAGAAACAATTAATTTGAATCCACAAAACTCTAGATCTAACTTCCAGTTTATAGAAAATGCAGGAGACTGAGGACAATCTATAAAAGACATCCCAAGAAAACAACCAAATAAATATAAAAGAGGCTGTACGTGGGACCCAAACCTCCTTTTTTATAAGTGCCACATAACTAAAGGAGGCTGAGTCTGGAAAACAGTTTTGACAGTTTCTTAAGAAATGTAAGGCCGGGCGCGGTGGCTCAAGCTTGTAATCCCAGCACTTTGGGAGGCCGGGGCGGGTGGATGACGAGGTCGACAGATCGAGACCATCCTGGTCAACATGGTGAAACCCCGTCTCCACTAAAAATACAAAAAATTAGCTGGGCATGGTGGCGTGTGCCTGTAATCCCAGCTACTCAGGAGGCCGAGGCAGGAGAATTGCCTGAACCCAGGAGGCGGAGGTTGCGGTGAGCCGAGATCGCGCCATTGCACTCCAGCCTGGGTAACAAGAGCGAAACTCCGTCTCAAAAAAAAAAAAAAAAAAAAGAAATGTAAACATACATCTACCATATGACCCAACAATTCTACTCCTAGGTATATACCCAAGAAAATGAAAATCTATCTCCACACAAATACTTGCACATAAATGTCCAAAGCAGCGTTATAAGTAACAGCCAAAAAGTAGAAACAAAACAATCAAAATGTCCATCAACTGATGAACAGTCAGACAAAATGTGATTTAGCCATACAATGGGCTCTTATCCAGCCGTGAAAAGGAAGTACTGGTATACACCACAACATGGATGATCCTTGAAAAAACTATGCTGAGTGAAAGAAGCCAGACACAAAAGACCACATGTTGCATGATTCCATTTATATGCAATGTCAGGAAAGGCAAATCTATAGAGACAGAAAGTAGAAAAAGTGGTTGCTTAGGGCCAGGAGGAGGGAAGACACAGGGGATCTTTTTGGGGTGACAGAAATGTCATAAAATTTAACTGTAGCGATGGTTGTACAACTTTATAAATTTACTAAAAAGTTTTGCACTGTACATTTTAAACAGGTAAATTTTATGGTATGTAAGTTATACCTCAGAAAAACCTGTTAAAAAAAGAGAAAAAAGGAAGGGACAATGCTAAGTTAGCAGACAGAACACAGAGACATAATAACCAGATGCAATACTTAGCTCTGGACTGGAACCTGGTTTTGACAAACCAGATATAAAGACGTTTTGAAACCAGATATTTTGAAAGATATTTTGAAACAAATGAGTATGGACTAGGTATAAAATGAAAATTTACTGATATGGAGTTAAACATAACTGAGAAGAGTAGATTATAAAACAGTTAATGGTACAGCTGCTGTGGAAAAAAGTATGGAAGTTCCTTAAAAAGAACTTTGGTCCATGCTAGGCAGAGGGTGCCTATGTGACCAGCTTGGGCACTGAGTCTCTAATGGGCTTCCCTGGACACATGTTGCTGCATTTTCATTGCTGGAGCATGTGCTGTGTGGCCCTCTTAGGGAGGGAGAGATGTAGGCAGCCTGCACCTAGGCTCTTCAGACCCCCTATGTCTTCTGCCCTCATGATCCGGCTGTGACCCCTTACTAGATACACTAATTATCTCAGCCTTGAGTACAGCTGTATCCTGGGACCAACTTGTCCTAGTTCTAGACAATCTCTGGATGTAGGGGTGGTCTTGGAGATCCGAAACACAAAAGTATAGTATACATCTAAGCAGTTTGATAATTTTTTTTTGAGAAATGATACTCAAGACTATAATATTTCGGTTGTACTCAAATATGGTAATCTTTGAAGGTATAATTGTTTTTTTTTTTTGAGACAGAGTTTCGCCCTTGTTACCCAGGCTGGAGTGCAATGGCGCGATCTCGGCTCACCACAACCTCCGCCTCCTGGGTTCAAGCAATTCTCCTGCCTCAGCCTCCTGAGTAGCTGGGATTACAGGCACGTGCCACCATGCCCAGCTAATTTTTTGTATTTTTAGTAGAGACGGGGTTTCACCATGTTGACCAGGATGGTCTCGATCTCTCAACCTCGTGATCCACCCGCCTCGGCCTCCCAAAGTGCTGGGATTACAGGCTTGAGCCACCGCGCCCGGCGGTATAATTGTTTAAAAAAGAAATCAGTGCCAAGAGTCAAGTCTGAATGACAAAGAGGTATCAGGATTAGTAAACTCATAAATACTGAAAGAGGGCAGGTTCAAAGTGGCAACATAATCTGTTACACAAAAGTAGTATCTAATAAATACTGTATAGTTTCTTTTCATTTCTTGGGTAGAGACAGGGTCTTGCTATGTTGCCCAGGCTGGTCTCAAACTTCAGGGCTCAAGTGATCCTCCCACCTCGGCCTCCCCATGTGCTGGGGATTACAGGTGTGAGCCACTGTACCAGCCAATACTGTATCGTTTCTTTTGAAGAAATTAGAACAAAAGAGTCCCTGAAACAACCAGGGTGGAAGACTACCACAGGCCCTCTACCAGATGCTATCTGTTAACAAGGCACACAACAGGAAAGATTTTTTTTAGGTAGTGGTTTCCTATAACAGGCATCCCCAAACTTTTTACACAGGGGGCCAGTTCACTGTCCCTCAGACCGTTGGTGGGCCGCCACATCCTGTGCTCCTCTCACTGACCACCAATGAAAGAGATGCCCCTTCCTGAAGTGCGGCAGGGGGCCGGAAAAATGGCCTCAGGGGGTCGCATGCGGCCTGCAGGCTGTAGTTTGGGGATGCCTGTATAAGGATGCCTTTTATAATTTCTACCTCCACTTTCCATAGGTCCTATCCAGAAAACTTGCTTTCCAAACTGCACTAATTATCTTTTCCATTAAAATACAAATATTTAACTGCCAACCAGAGCTTCTAGTTAGTTTTGCCATTTATAAGCTGGTGACTTCATAAAAACCACTTCACTTCTGTAAGTGACTGAGCTGAGATTTAAACAGATTCAAAAATAACTTCTAGACCACCATCACCGCCTTCAAGAAAGGCAAGTGTGAAATAAGAGTTATGTAAGAGGTGAAGCCAGCCCAGTCCTATTTTTGTAGCATATGTCACCATTTCCACTCCCCAGTGACAAGCACAAAGCCACCTAGAGCACAGCCTGCCTGTCCTTTGGGGCATCTCTGTCATGTGCTTAAAGTCATTCCTCTCCATCTATGTTATACTGATCTTAACCCAAGCCTCTTTCATCTTGCGCTTTGTAATGAATTTCCAACTGCTCACCCTTCCTGATGGACAAACCACCCCTCATACCTTGCAGGAGAGAGAACTGAGACATGAACTGGAGGAGGGGAGAGACGACTAGGCGGGTGAAGTGCATAGCTGGAGACTCAGAGCAGGTAGGTTCTTTCTGGGGGACACTGTAAAGGGGTGTTACCCTGGGCAACCCCAAAAGACTGTTTCAGACAGTATGGCTATTACACCCTACAAAGTGTATCAGTTTCACTGCTCGTCACAGAACCACCAGCAGCTCCAGCAGCAGCACAGTGCTGAGCAAAACAATCAATCTGGTTTCTTACAGACCCTTCAATGGTGCCTCTGTGTCTAGCAAAACACTTTTGCAAATCACTTCCAAGTATATGGGTAATGTGCATCCTCCATGTCATTTTTCTTTACATTTTCCCACATATTTTCACAGGCTAAAATTTTATGGTTGAACTGCTTGTGACAGCGGATCCATTGGGGGGAAGGAAGCAAATGGTAGGCATGGTGGCAGACTTGCAATAAATGTATTGATTACAGGTAGGGATGAAGTGAAGTACACTGTGGTAGTTAAGATACTGAAGTCAGACCACTTGCTGTGTGACCTTGAGCAAGTTATTTAAATCACCAAGCCTCAGTTGCGCCATCTGTAATGTGGTTATAATAATTGCACTTATGCCGGGCACGGTGGCTCACGCCTGTAATCCCAGCACTTTGGGAGGCCGAGGCGGGTGGATCATGAGGTCAAGAGATCGAGACCATCCTGGTCAACATGGTGAAACCCCGTCTCTACTAAAAATACAAAAAAATTAGCTGGGCATGGTGGCGCGTGCCTGTAATCCCAGCTACTCGGGAGGCTGAGGCAGGAGATTTGCCTGAACCCAGGAGGCAGAGGTTGCGGTGAGCCGAGATCGCGCCATTGCACTCCAGCCTGGGTAACAAGAGCGAAACTCCGTCTCAAAAAAAAAAAAATAATAATAATAATTGCACTTACTTTGTAGACTGCTATGATAAATTACTAGGAGGTTTAACTAGGAAAATGCATGTAAGTGCTCATCATAATGCAAAATAAATCGTTTGTTGCCATGATTTAATTTTTAACCAGCCCTGCCTGTTAGGCATTACCATCCTCATTTCAGATGAGGCAGTTGTAGCACACAGGTGGTACCAGGATTAGAATCTAGAACTGCTCAACCCTGGAGCTCAAACTCATCCTACCACCTGCCAGCTGAAAAGAGCCCCCATGTTTTGTGACTTTCAAAGAATCAAAAGCCCGAGGCTTGATTATCTTAGGACAATGAAATCCTGTGTCTTCTAATAGTGATTATGAGCTGCAGGGAAGCTCTACCACCTGAGGAGAGGGTGAAGTAAACTGGTTACCAAGCTATAACAAGGCCTCCACCAGCACTCATAAAGCAGAATGGAAGACAGAAAGATGGTTGTGGGGAAAAGGAATCTGCAAAAATGATGCACAGATTGAGATTCTGGATAAAGTGGCATGTCAAGGAATCAGGATTGCTGACTTGACAGGATAACTATACAAGCAGCCATTTTTACCATTCCAGGCAATAAAAACATCAATTGTCTTTGTCATTAGGGTTGAGACTCCTAGCATTTGATATGCATTCTTGGAGAGATATAATACCTAACAGATTGGAAGCAAAACTGACATTCTGCTGTCATTCAAAAAAATACGTACACTGCATCCCAGTCAGGAAAACAAACCTAAAACTTTGTGACATGAGATTAAAAAAAAAAAAAAAAAAAAGCTGAGCATCCTGCTTAGATTTGGTCCCCCAAATAAATCATACCTTGAACATTTTCCATAAATTATCTATGTCTAGAGATAAGGCTTTTGTTAATGAGATGATAAAGTGAGAAAAGCTTTTGGTAGATAAGCTGGTAGAAAAGTTTACAGTAGATAAACACAACTAAAGTAAACTTGGTAACCTTGGTAATATTGGTTTTTTCCCACTTAAACACCTGTTGTTTTTTACTTGGCAAGGCAGTCATTGGGAGCCTGGACTCCTTTACACCCCTTTGTGAGTAAACTTCTTTGCACTTTTACATATTCTTGTATGAGTTTCCTCCATGGGAACATATTAAAAGTTTTGAAAAGTCCTGCAGTAAAGAAATTTTAATTTAGTATTTCAAAACTTATCTAGAGGCAATACAGTCTAAGAGAGCATGAATTTTGACACCGCTGCAACTTGGAAGCTTAAAGACCTTAGGCAAATTACTTCAATGCCGAGGCTCAGTTTTACTTTCTGTGAAATAGTGCTGGTTGCTGGATTATACATTACAGTAGTATCTTATTTAGAGATAAGGAATCTTATGCTCAGAAAGAGTTGAAATTTGCCTAAAATTTCATACTCTAAGAGGCACAGGAACCTAAATCAGGATCATCTTGGTTTTTCCCTTGTATACCTGGAGAGAGCTTGACCTGAAAGCTTTAATTGCTTCCCAAACAGAGGTGTCCCGCAGGATGTTGCTCCATACGATTGGGTTGGAATGTTGAGAAGGGATCACTTCTGTTTAAGTGCTAATTAATGTTTGCTGGGGACTTACAACGTGCTGGGGGGCTCTTAATCGGATACTGTAATGTATAATCACATGTCTTAGATCAAGTATGGGAATAAATGGTAGAATGAAACCATAAAACAAGCGAGGGGAGGAATAGAGAGGTTTTTCTAGGTGTCTGCAAGCTGCTTTATGGTGCACAATGACCTAGGAACAATTCCTCCAGCAGGAGAAACTTTATACTAATAAAAATATGTAAATACACACAAACCCATCTTCACAAAACACCTTCTAGGACAAATAACCTAGTAAAAGTCTTTTTATAGACACTAGGTGCAAATTTCTGACAATAGCTTAACATAAGCCACTTGGGCCTTGGATAAACTTAACAGTTTAACGTACGCTAATGCTAACAGAAAACTTAACTACACAGTCACGTCTCAACTGTTCATACTAATGAAGAGAAGTTACAACATAGCTAATTAACAGCTTGCTACACAATCAAACTCTACAATTGTTTTTCAGCAACGGGGTTTTCCCACACAAGTTACTAAATGAAATTCGCATTTTCCAAGCATACAATTCAATTTGCATTTTCCAAACACACAATTCAAGAGGACTAGATTCCATTACCAGTAAGCCACAAGTTCACCAAGGAAGGAGGGTGTTACACAACCACACTATTCTATTTCACAGTAGCAGTCGCAGCGTAGCTATCTGGTTTTCTATTTTCTACAAGAAACCATCCATTACCGTGGTATTTCCCCTCGTAAATGGCTCTCTCAGTAAGATGAGTGTCAACCTCTTTCAGTCTCAGTTTCCTGCACTGTAAAATGGTAATAAGAACGACTAAGTTGTCTTACTGTGAGTCTGGTGATAATGAACATAAAGGACTTGGAAATATGCAGGGCGTTTAACTGATATTCAAGAAATGCTGCCTGTCATTATTATTTTCCACAAAACAATTCTTACTTGCTAACTCTCTGCAAGTTTAGATTGTATCTGGATTATCCAAACTTTGAGGCCCTTATAATCGATTAACAAATTACTCCTAAGTGGTATCCCTATTTGTAACCGGCCTCTTGGCGTCCCTTGACTTAACTCCGTATCTCTTCCAGTTAAACGGTAAGCCCCCGAGTCCTCCCCACGGCGTCACAGCATCCGGCACGGCCCTGGCTAGGACGTCTTTCCTCTCAGCCCACAGGGGCCACGCTTCAAACTCGCGGCGTAGCCCCCCGCGCTGGCCTCGCCCCGCGTCTCGGCCGCGACCCACGGCCACGCACCCCCCCGGATCCCCGGCTCTGGCCGCAGCGTTCACTTTGCCTCGCAAAGCCCCACTGCGAAGAGCTGAGCAACTTTCCGAGTCCCGCTCCAGCCTCAGGTTCCCGGGCGGCAGGATTGGCTTGCACCGGCACCCCGCGGCCTGGGGGAGCGGCCCGAAGTGTCCCGCCGCTCCTGGCCCCCGTGCACTGACCTGCAAGTGACCTGCTTGGTGCTCATGGTGGCTGGTCTGAGGGACCGTGGCCGAACTGCCGCCTCTCACAGCCGCCGCCGCCTCGGCCTTGATCTTGGCCCGGCCCATCCCGCGTAGCCGCGTCACGCAGGCGCACGCCGCCCCACGCCGCCCCTGCGGTGTGGCACCTTTGTAGCGCCGGCGGGTAACCTCGCCGCCGTCACAATTCGTTCCGCACCGGGGGTGGGCAGGCGGTCCCCCGCATCCCCGCGCTCAGTGTCCCCCACTTCCATGCCTCGGGGGCGAAGCCTGGCTGGAATGGTAGTCCTGCCAGTCTTATCCTGATGCCCACTGTTAGTGCCTGTGATTCTGCCCCCACTGCCAAGAGTATTCCTTAGCGATCTCCTGCCTCCTTCGAGGCACTTCAGCCGTCCTGGGGCAAACTCCCGCCTCCCTTCTTAATCCCAGATGCCCCTATCCATTCAAACTTGCACTCACTGGGCACCCTTCTCAGGCCCTGCCTCAGCTGTTCCCGCCGGACCTCGCCTCCCACTTAAGGAAATTCCTTAACCCTCTCCCAACTGCTCTTTTTCCAAATCTCTACTTTAACAAGTTTCAGTCTTCATTTTCTTTCCTTCCAGTCCTGGGCTGCTCGTCTTCCATTTCCTACGGTGGAAACCGTAGAAGTTATTTTTGACACTTCCCTCTAGCTCTCTTTGTTTTTCATTGTTTATTTTTATCTTTTTTTTTTTTTCTTTCCCTCTAGCTCTCTATACCCTGCAGATCCTGCTCCCGTACCTCTGTCCAATGCATCCTCTTCTTCCCCTTTCCATCGTCATGGTTCGCCCTAGGCCCATGCAATAACCCTTTTTTTTTTTTTTTTTTTTTTTTTGAGACGGAGTAACATACATACTGTTCCGCACAGCGTACATGATCAGTGAAGATTTTTCCATATGAGTACGTAGAGCCTCTTCCTCCTTTTATAGAACTGTATAGTATTCAAAAAAAAAACAAAAAACTGTATAGTATTCCATTGTACGACTATGCCATAAGTTATTTCATCAGCCTTGTACTGCTGGACCCTTTTAGGGTGTCTGTGCTGTTAAAACACTGGATCGGGCACACGTTCTCAGGATCCCCTGAGGCCTGTGTCATGGGCAAAATATATATACACATATATATGGAAAAAAATAAATAATAAAACACTGGATCAATGACAGCCAGTGTGCACTTCCACAAGCTATACCCAACAGCTTGGTTCCTGCCACTGTCATGGTACTTAGCATTTAGATTTTTCTCGAAGGATGCAAGCAGTCTCCACTTAGGGTTCTTCCAGCGTTAGCCGGCCCTGGGCACTAAACCTCGCCTACCTGGGACGTGGAAATCACTTTCCTCACCCCCGGGGAACCCGCGCTGGCAGAGAAGGCAGGGCCACTGGCTCCTGCTCACAGTAGGCGCGCATACAATTCACGTCTGCTTGCTGACCACCAGCTGCCGATCTCTGGCCCTTCGGAAGAGCAACTTTGCTACAAAACACACAGGGAAAAAAGGCTTATCAGATGGAGGCGGGTGACGAAGCTGAGAAAACAGACTGGAAGAGTGGCTCTCAGCTCAGGGCTCAAAATGGCCACGTGGACGAAGAGACACACAGAGACCTTTTGCGCAGACCTGCGCGGAGGATCTTGCAAAGCATTCGTTTTCTTTGTGTGCTTATCTGCCCCTAGAAGCGGTTTTCAATGTTATTTTAAACAATATCCTAAAATTTCCGAATTGCTTGTTGCTTATATATAGAAATACACTAGATCTTTGTATACTGACCTGGGATCCAACTCCTTGCTCAAATCTTGAATTAATTCTAATGGTATATTTGTAGGTTGTTTTCGATTTTCTACACAGAATCACGCCATCAGCAAATAATGAGTTTTACTTCCTTTTGGAGACAGGGTCTCACTTTGTCACCCAGGCGAGTGTGCAGTGATGTGATCTCCACTCACTGGAGTCTCTACCTCCTGGTTTCACCGTGTTCTCCTGCCTCAGCCCCTCAAGTAACTGGGACTACAGGTGTGCGCCACTATTACCGACCAATTTTTGTATCTTTTTAGAGATGAGTCTCACTATGTTGCCCAAGCTGGTTTCAAATTCTTGAGCTCAAGTAATTTGCTCACCTTGGCCTCCCAAAGTGCTGGGATTACAGGCACGAGCCACCACGCCCGGCCTGCAGGAAGATTTTTGATTAAAGATTTAATTGCTTTCTTATATATAAAGCTATTCAGATTTCATTATCTTATGGCAGTTTTGGAAAGCTCTTTTTTATGTAATTTATCCACTTCATCGAAATTGATAAATTTAATGTCATAAAGTTGATCATAATATCTTATTTTTTAAATGTTTGTAGTATCTGTAGTATCTCATTTTCATTCTGGATATTAATAATTGGTGTTTTACTTCTTTTTATCAGTCACTAAAAGTTTGTCCATTGGCCAGGCGTCGTGGCTCACGCCTGTAATCCCAGCACTTTGGGAGGCCGAGGCGGGCAGATCACCTGAGGTCAGGATTTTGAGACCAGCCTGGCCAACATGGTGAAACCCCCATCTCCACTAAAAAAGTACAGAAATGCCGGGCGCGGTGGCTCAAGCCTGTAATCCCAGCACTTTGGGAGGCCGAGGCGGGTGGATCACAAGGTCAAGAGATCGAGACCATCTTGGTCAACATGGTGAAACCCCGTCTCTACTAAAAATACAAAAAAAATAGCTGGGCATGGTGGCGCGTGCCTGTAGTCCCAGCTACTCAGGAGGCTGAGGCAGGAGAATTGCCTGAACCCAGGAGGCGGAGGTTGCGGTGAGCCGAGATCGCGCCATTGCACTCCAGCCTGGGCAACAAGAGCGAAACTCCGTCTCAAAAAAAAAAAAAAAAAAAAAAAAAAAAAAAAAAAAAAAAGTACAGAAATTAGCCAGACATAGCATGCTCCTGTAGTCCCTGCTACTTGGGGGGCTGAGGCAGGAGAATCGCTTGAACCCAGGAGGCAGAGGTTGCAGTGAGCCGAGATCGTACCATTGCACTCCAGCCTAAAGTTTGTCCATTTTACTAATTTTTTTCAATGAATGAGCTTTGGCTCGGTTTGTTTTCTCTGTTGTATGTATGTTTCATATTTTACTGATTTCCGCCCTTTACTATTTCCTTTTTCTATGTTGAGTTCAAAATGCTCTCGTTATCTAGCTTCTTGAAAATCAATGAAAGGCATTGATTTTCTATTTTTTTCCTAAGGATTTTAAACTATTCCCTGTAAGCACATTTATCTGCATTCCACAGTTTTTTATATTTTCCTTACCATTTAGTTAAAAATATTTTCTAATTTCCACTGCTATTATTTGACCCATACATTATTTAGAAGTGTGCCACTTAATTTCCAAACAACTGAAGGTTTTCTAGTTATTTTCTCGTATTGATTTCTGTTGGTTTCTAGTGTGATCCCCATGCAGAATTTTCTATTCTCGTTCTAGTGTGGTCGACATCCTGCTTTATATATTTTAAAGCTCTGTTTTTACACTTAAACAAATGTAAAATTACTCTCTCTTCTGTTAATACTTTATCATTTTAAAATGTCCTTCTTTATGCTAGTTGCACATGTGAATCAGGACAGTGCTATATCAGTGAATGAATGAGCTCACCACACTGTGCTTCATGTAATACATTATGTAAAGACACATGTATAAAAGATGTTTCTAAGAATGCAAGTTTTTAAAAAGTCCCTCTTTATCTCTAGAGATATTTCTTAAAGTATACTTTGATTGTAATCATGTCAGCTTTCTTTCAGATAGTGTTTGCAAGGTGTATTTTTTCCATCCTTTTATTATTATCATCATTATTTTTGAGAGGGATTCTCACTCTGTCTCCCAGCTGGAGTGCAGTGCTGCGATCTTGGCTCACTGCAACCTGTGCCTCCTGGGTTCAAGTGATTTTCGTTTCCCAGACTCCTGAGTAGCTGGGATTACAGATGCTCACCACCACACCTGGCTAATTTACTGTATTTTAGCAGAGACAGGGCTTCACCATGTTGGCCAGGCTGGTCTTGAACGCCTGACCTTAGGTGATCCCCCCACCTCGGCCTCCCAAAGGGCTGGGATTACAGGTGTGAACCACCACACCCGGCCCCATTCTTTTATTTTTAATCTACCTGGTATTTTATCTAAATTTCTCTCTCCTAGATAGCATATAATTGTTTTATTTTAAAATAGAGTCTGATAATCTTTGTTTTTTATATTGGAGCATTTAGTCCATTTACACTAAATGTAATATAATTGGATTTAAATGTATTATATTGATTTTTTTTTCTTTTTTTTTTTTGAGATGAAGTCTAGCCCTGTCACCTAGCCTGGAGTGCAATGGCACCATCTCAGCTGTCTGCAACCTCCACCTCCCAGTTTTAAGCAAATCTCCTGCCTCAATCTTCTGAGTAGCTGGCAGTGTGTACAGGTGTGTCAACACGCCCAGCTAATTTTTGTGTTTTTGTATTTTTAGTAGAGACAGGGTTTCATTATGTTGGCCAGGCTGGTCTCAAACTCCTAACCTCTGGTGATGTGCCCACGCTGGCCTCCCAAAGTGCTGGGATTACAAGTGTGAGCCACCAGGCCTGGCCTTGATTTTTTTTCTTAAGAAATCCTTCACGGAAATATATTTATCTTCTATTCATATAATCTGTTATTTGTTCTTTAATTCTCCTTTCATGTATTCCTTTGGGTTAAGTATTTTCCATTATTCTATCGTTTTTTCTTTATTGGTAATATACTTTTTTTTTTAGTAGGAGTCTTGCTCTGTTGCCAAAGCTGGAGTACAGTGGCACCATCTTGGCTCACAGTTGACTTCACCTCCCAGGTTTAAGCAATTCTCTTGTCTCAGCCTCACTGCAGACTTCACCTCCCAGGTTTAAGCGATTCTCTTGCCTCAGCTGGAACCACAGGTGTGCACCATCACACCCCAGCTGATTTTTGTATTTTTTGTAGAGACGGGGTTTCACCATTTTGGCCATGCTAGTCTTGAACTCCTGGCCTCAAGAGATCCACCTGCCTCAGCCTACCAAAGTGTTGGGGATTAATTACAGGCATGAGCCACCTGTACGCTTTTAACTACTTTTTTAAAAGTGAATCTGTAAGAGATTACCCCAGGTATAATAAGCATTCACATTTGTTGGCATCTACCTTAAATTAGTTCTCTTGCCACTTCCTTAATGCAAACAATCTACAAAAGCATAACATCATTTATTCTCCTCCTTTTGTGCTATTTTTTTGAGACAGGGTCACACTCTGTCACCCATGCTAGAGTGCAGTGATGTGATCATAGCTCACTGCAACTTTAAACTTCTGGACTCAAGTGAACCTCCTGCTTCAGCCTCCTGAGTAGCTAAGACTACAGGTGCACCACCATGCCCAACTAATTTTTAAATTGGGGTCTTGCTGTGTTGTCCAGGCGGGTCTTGAACTTGTGGCCTCAAGCAGTCCTCCTATCTTGTCCTCCCAGAGTGCTGGGGTTATATATTCGAGCCATTGCACCCAGCCCTTTTGTGCTACTGTCATATATTTTACTTCTGCATATGTTTTAAACTCCACACAGTATTATGATTTGTGTTGTTTTAAAATTGGGTATTCTGGGCCAGGGGCAGTGGCTCATACCTGTAATCCCAACACTTTCAGAGGTCAAGGTGGGAGGATTGCTGGAGCCCAGGAGTTTAATGCCAACCTGGACAAGACAGTGAGACTCCATCTGTACAAATAATTTTTAAAATTAGCCAGGAGTGGTGGCATGTGCCTATAGTCCCAGCTATTTGGGAAGCTGAGGCAGGAGGACTGTCTGAGCCCAGGAGGTCAAGGCTGCAGTGAGCCATGATTGTGCCACTACACTCTAGCCTGGGCAACAGAGCAAAACACTGTCTCAAAACAATACTTGTTAAAAATTTTTAGCCGGGCGCGGTGGCTCAAGCCTGTAATCCCAGCACTTTGGGAGGCCGAGGCGGATGGATCACGAGGTCGAGAGATTGAGACCATCCTGGTCAACATGGTGAAACCCCGTCTCTACTAAAAAATACAAAAAATTAGCTGGGCATGGTGGCACGTGCCTGTAATCCCGGCTACTCAGGAGGCTGAGGCAGGAGAATTGCCTGAACCCAGGAGGCGGAGGTTGCGGTGAGCCGAGATCGCACCATTGCACTCCAGCCTGGGCAACAAGAGTGAAACTCCGCCTCAAAAAAAAAAAAAAAAAAAGAAAAAAAAATTTTTTTAAAAGAATATTCTTCACTCCTTTTGATAATTCCTAATTTCATGTAATCTCTTTTATTCATAGGATCTCTTTTATTCATCCAGAACTCATGCTAAAGATCTCCCCAAAATTAATTTTCTTAGGTTCTGTTATTCAAATAAATATCCTTTCCTCTTTTTAAAAATCACCTTTATTTTTCAGAGTAGTCTTAGGTTCACAGCAAAACTGATAAAAAAAAGTACAGAAAGTTCCTATATAGCCCCTGTCCCCATGCATGTACCATCAACATTTGGTAGTATATTTGCTATAATGAAACTACATTGACATATCATTATTACCCAAAGTCCATAGTTTACATTATGGTTTACTCTTGGTGTTGTATACTCTGTGGATTTTTTTTTTTTTTTTTTTTTTTTTTTTTTTTTTTGAGATAGGGTCTCACTCTGTTGCCCAGGCTAAAGTGTGGTGATGTGATCATAGTTCACTGCAGTCTCTAACTCCTGGGCTCAAGCGATCCTTCCACCTCAGCCTACCAAGTAGCTGGGACTAGAGTTGAGTGCCATCATTCCTGTCTACATTTTTTTTTTTTTTTTTTTTTTTTGAGATGGAGTCTTGCACTGTTGCCCAGGCTGGAGTGCAGTAGGGTGATCTCAACTCACTGCAATCTCTGCCTCCCAGGTTCAAGTGATTCTCCTGCCTCAGCCTCCCAAGTAGCTGGGATTACAGGAATGTGCTACCTTGCAAGGCTAATTTTGTATTTTTAGTAAAGACAGGGTTTCTCCATATTGGAAAGGCTGGTCTCAAACTCCCGACCTCAGCTGATCCACCTGCCTTGGCCTCCCAAAGTGCTGGGATTACAGGCATAAGCTACCACACCCAGGTTTTTTTTGTTGTTTTTTGTTTTTGTTTTAATAAAATGTCATAACAGAGGGGTGGTGGTGATTGTTCTGTGGGTTTTGGCCTCTTGCTAGCTGCCAGGGCAGAAGGGTGGCTCTGTGGGTTGGTGAAAACAGTATCCAACCAGGTCCAAGGCAGATAGGGGCATGTCATGTCTCTGTCATGTCCCATTGATGAGTGGATTCCTGTGCAATATGAAAGAATGAACTAGACCTCTATTACTGATATTGTGAAAAAACTGGTTATTTTACCAAGGCTTTGACTGGAATGGTACACTTTCCTTTAAGAAATTAAGTCGGCCGGGCACGGTGGCTCAAGCCTGTAATCCCAGCACTTTGGGAGGCTGAGGCGGGTGGATCACGAGGTCAAGAGATCGAGACCATCCTGGTCAACATGGTGAAACCCTGTCTCTACTAAAAATACAAAACATTAGCTGGGCATGGTGGCACATGCCTGTAATCCCAGCTACTCAGGAGGCTGAGGCAGGAGAATTGCCTGAACCCAGGAGGCAGAGGTTGTGGTGAGCCAAGATAGTGCCATTGCACTCCAGCCTGGGTAACAAGAGCGAAACTCCGTCTCAAAAAAAAAAAAGAAAGAAAGAAAAAAGAAAAATTATGCAGTGCATATAATAAAATGCACAGCATGATGCTTTTTCACAAATAGAATACTCCCATATTATTAACACCCAGATAATGAGTCACAACAGCCCTGGAGCTCAGAAACCACTTCTGCCCTCTCCCAAATCAGTATCCTCCTCCTGTTATCACTATCCTTATTTCTAACTGGGCTGTTAATTTTTTATAAAAACCCCAGAACATTTTGGATGTTAATTTTTTTTTATAAGCAAGATTACTTTTACAACACAAAATGCTAAAAAAAAAAAAAAAAAGCCTTAAATTAAGGATTTATTTATGCAACAACAAAAGGATATAATCAAATTCCGGGAACACAAAAATAAAGGTTTCCAGTTCCAAGAAGCTCACAGACTAACAGGAGAAACAAAACTAAATGATGAAATAACAGTTCTAGGCTGGGCACGGTGGCTCACGCCTCTAATTCCAGCACTCCAGGAGGCTACTTGATCACTTGAGCTCAGGAGGTGGACTCCAGCCTGGTCAACACGGTGAAACCCATCTCTACCAAAAAATACAACAGTTAGCTGGGTATGGTGCATCTGTAGCCCCAGCTGCTTGGGGAGGCTGATGTGGGAGAATCACTGGGGCAGAAGTTGCAGTAAGCCAAGATTGTGCCACTGCACCCCAGCCTGGGTGACAGAGTGAGATCCTGTCTCCAAACAAATAAATAAAAGAGTTTTGATAGAAATATAAATCCAGCGCTGCCACTGCAAGGGAAGACAAGGGAAGCTGAAAAAGATTTCACGGAAAAGTGAGGCTTTAAAGGATGAATAGAAGCTGGCAGTCATCCATTACCATAAACCAGGCGTCCCCAAACCTTTTACACAGGGGGCCAGTTCACTGTCCCTCAGACCGTTGGAGGGCCGCCACATACTGTGCTCCTCTCGCTGACCACCAATGAAAAAGGTGCCCCTTCCTGAAGTGCGGTGGGGGGCCGGATAAATGGCCTCAGGGGGCCGCATGCGGCCCGCGGGCCGTAGTTTGGGGACGCCTGCCATAAACAATGGAAATAAACAGAAACTAGCTCTTTAAGAAACAGTCTACAGGGAGGCCTGGCTGCTGGTTAATCCTACCTGGTTTGGCTTCTGAAGCCATCAGTCAAGATGACATCATCATCGATCAGGTTTCTCAGGGCGGTGTGCATTTGCCAGGTGTGTAATGAGGAAAAGGAAGTCTCCGGAATCCTCCCCCGGCATCCCAGGAGGTGAAAGCTATGCACTGCACAGAGGCTGGGAAGGCTTTAATTAAATTCAACCACTGTGAGAAATACATCTACAGCTTCAGGGTGCCCCAGTGCTGCCCTCTCTGCCAGCAGGACCTGGGCTCGAGGAAGCTGGAGGAAGCACCTGTTAGCATCGCTAATCCATTTACTAATGGACATCAGGAAAAATGTTCATTCCTCCTCAGACCAACTCAGGGGACGTTTCTTAGGTACAGTGTTTTTTAAAGTGTTAAATTGCATTGTGCAAACTTGTCCTTCTGTTTTAGTCACTAAAACTTCCTTTCCTTAATATATAATGTGTGAGGTTTGGTGGACATTTTTTTTTTTTTTTTTTGGTGCTTTGGCCTTAAATCCTGAGATGCAGGCCTACTGGCTTCATAAAAATAGATGGTGTGCCTGTGTGCCTACAGTGGTAAGTGCAAGAATATATGTGGAATATATGAAGAATAAACCTGCTCATACAATTTTCAGAGAGAAAAATATGTGCTCAGAGTCTAACTGGGAAAATGACCCAGCAGCTAATCTTATCTAAATAATACCTTACTGCCAGTTAAGTGGTGGTTTCAATGACAAACAGGTACAATGTACAGGGCCTGATAAACCAGCACTTACAGACTATTTTGTATGGAGGCAAGTTAAACTGAAGACTAGAACTGTTCTATTTCCATCATAGCCACCACCTGGCTTTAAGAACAAATTCAGTTCCCTCATGCTGAGACTGCTGGTACAAACGAAAAGAATGAATTCAGAAAGCAAAAGTAGAATTATACTTTTTTTTTTTTTTTTCTGAGACAGTTTCATTCTTGTTGCCCAGGCAGGCTGGGGGTGTAATGGCATGATCTTGGCTTACTGCAACCTCCGCCTCCTGGGTTCAAGTAATTCTCCTGCCTCAGCCTCCTGAGTAGCTGGGATTCACCACGCCTGGCTAATTTTTGTATTTTTAGTAGAGATGGGGTTTCACTATGTTAGCCAGGCTGGTCTCAAACACCTGACCTCAGGTGATCTGCTTGCTTCAGCCTCCCAGAGTGCTGGGATTACAGGCAGGAGCCACTGTGCCTGGCCAGGTTTGTATTTTACTGTCCCCATGGAGTTTACCAATAGGATTAGGATCAGCCCCATATAAGCCAGGCTGTAGAATATCATGGATCGTAGAATGTTGGTGTATGCTTTAGGAAGCATGTTTGGCTCCTGTGTATCATTAGTCTAATACTCCTTAGTCTACCCTCCTAACTCTCCTGTGCCCTCAAGAGTGCTGATTTTGAATAAGAAAATGGGAGTTGACTACTCACCTTCCTGCTTACTCTAACTTCCTCAAACAATTTCCTTTTGGTACCTATGAGGATGAAGTGAACCAAAGTATGTAAAAGATTTTGGTCATAATGTTAGGTGTTAAACAGACAGCATCCCTGGGCCTTGCCCAGGGAGGCAGCCAATGCAGAGAGGGCATTATAGGCTCTGGCATCATAAAGCCCCTGATTCCTAGCCTGGTTCTTCTAACCGGTTCCAGGAGTCTCTGGTTCCTTATCTGTAAAACAAAGATTAAAATTAAGATTGTTAGTCTTTTTTTTTTTGAGACAGGGTCTCACTCTGTTGCTCAGGCTGGAGTGCAGTGGTGCAATCTCTGCTCACTGCCACCTCTGCCTCCTGGGTTCAAGAGATTCTCATGTCTCAGCTACCCAAGTAGCTGGGATTACAGGTGCCCTCCACCACACTCAGCTAATTATTTTATTTTTCAGTAGAGATGAGGTATCGCCATGTTGTCTAGACTGGTCTTCAACTCCTGGCTTCATATGCCCACCTCAGCATCCCAGAGTGCTGGGATTACAGGCATGAGCCACTGTGCCCGGCCTAATTTTTAATCTTTTTTTTTTTTTTTTTTTTTTTGAGATGGAGTTTCGCTCTTGTTACCCAGGCTGGAGTGCAATGGCGCGATCTCGGCTCACCGCAACCTCTGCCTCCTGAGTTCAGGCAATTCTCCTGCCTCAGCCTCCTGAGTAGCTGGGATTATAGGCACGCGCCACCATGCCCATCTAATTTTTTGTATTTTTAGTAGAGACGGGGTTTCACCGTGTTGACCAGGATGGTCTCGATCTGTTGACCTCGTGATCCACCCGCCTCGGCCTCCCAAAGTGCTGGGATTACAGGCTTGAGCCACCGCGCCCGGCTAATTTTTAATCTTAAACACTAAATCTTTAATTTCAATAAAAATATTGAAAATGATGATTCTGTTACCTATTGTTTCTGTTTCCTGGGGGCAACTTCACAGCCCTGAACAGCAGGTATAGCTAGAACTGGGTTTGTTTCAAGAAAATGTTTTGCTGATAACAGGGAAGGCTATTTGAACTTAACTCAAATGGTAGGTGCATAGGAGGTTTAGCGATAGGGTATATAAGCCTGTCTCAAGCTTCAGTTTTGTTTCACCAACATGCTCCTTCCCATCCTATTCTTTTTATGTTCACTTCAGACCCTAACTACAAAGCCTGGCAGAAGCTTCATGTGAACTTATTTATTTATTTATTTATTTTTTGAGATGGAGTTTCGCTCGTTACCCAGGCTGGAGTGCAATGGCGCGATCTAGGCTCACTTCAACCTCTGCCTCCTGGGTTCAGGCGATTCTCCTGCCTCAGCCTCCTGAGTAGCTGGGATTACAGGCATGCGCCACTATGCCCAGCTAATTTTTTGTATTTTTAGTAGAGACGGGGTTTCACCATGTTGACCAGGATGGTCTCGATCTCTTGACCTCGTGATCCACCTTCCTCGGCCTCCCAAAGTGCTGGGATTACAGGCGTGAGCCACCGCGCCCGGCCTCATGTGAACCTAATCAGAATCATGAAGCCTAAACTGTTTTGGGGTTTTGTTTTTTTAGAGTCACAGTCTATGTTGCTGAGGCTGGAGTGCAGTGGTACAATCAAAGCTCACTGTAGCCTTGAACCCATGGACTCAAGTGATCCGCTCAGCCTCCCAAGTAGCTGGCACTACAGACAAGAACTACCATTTCTGGTTCTCCCCCCTACTTTTTTGAGAGTGTCTTACTCTGTTGCCTAGGTTGGAATGCAGTGGCACTTACTGCAATCTCTGCCTCACGAGTTCAAGCGATTCTCATGCCTCAGCCTCCCAAGTATGTAGCTGGGATGCATGCCCCACCATGCCCAGCTAATTTTTGTATTTTTAGTAGAAACAGGGTTTCACCATGTTGGCCAGGCTGGTCTCGAACTCCTGGCCTCAATGGATCCTCCCACCTTAAAAAGTCCCAAAGTGCTGGGATTACAGGCATGAGCCACTGCACCCAGCGGCTCTCCTCCTACTTATTTTCTTGGACTGTCTCTCGCTCTGTCACCCAGGGTGGAGTGCAGTGGTGCAATCTTGGCTTACTGCAAACTCCACCTCCCGGGTTCAAGTGATCCTTGTGCCTCAGCCTTCCGAGTAGCTGGGATCACAGGCACACACCAACATGCCTGGCTAATTTTTGTATTTTCAGTAGAAATGGGGTCTCACCATGTTGACCAGGATGGTCTCAAACTGCTGGCCTCAAGTGATCCGCTGCCTTGGCCTGCCAAAGTGCTAGGATTACAGGTTTGAGCCACTGTGCCTGGCCTCCTCCTACTTTAAATGTCAATTCTTCATGCCAAACACATGCAAACCAGAAAAAAACAAACCTTGTTTCTTTCAGGGAGTATGATGGAAGGTCTAATCTTCACGTTGGAATAACTAACACAAATGGTAAGTGTGGTTTCATAGCTTAAAACAAAACCCAATACCCAGTAAAAGGAAAGTTGTTATTTGTAGAGAGATTCGACTATGGCAGCATCTAATGGGTGTTCCATTGTTCACTGGGTTCTCGTACTCCACCATGAGGTGTGCACTGCCCCCAATGAGAAATATTGACTTTATGGCAAATTATTACTACTAACAATATGAAATATTTGAAAGCTCTTTAATATTAGTTTTCTCAGGCCAGGCGCGGTGGCTCAAGCTTGCAATCCCAGCACTTTGGGAGGCCGAGACGGGTGGATCACGAGGTCAAGAGATCGAGACCATCCTGGTCAACATGGTGAAACCTCGTCTCTACTAAAAGTACAGAAAACTAGCTGGGCATGGTGGCGCGTGCCTGTAATCCCAGCTACTCAGGAGGCTGAGGCAAGAGAATTGCCTGAACCCAGGAGGCGGAAGTTGCGGTGAGCCGAGATCGTGCCATTGCACTCCAGCCTGGGTAACAAGAGCGAAACTCAGTCTAAAAAAAAAAAAAAAATTAGTTTTCTCAGTGAAGAGCCTCACAAACCTGTACATTTTTTATTAGTTTTTAAAAGAGGAAGAAATAGATGTCCAGTGAGGCTGAGTTGCCCAAGACCTCACATCTTGTATCCGAATCAGAATCTGGAAACAGGCCCTCTGATTTCCAATCCTTTCTATGCTCAGCCAACTACCACTGGGTCCCCACACTCCAGGGACTTCAGGAGTAAAGTAGGGTGTGATGGGACCTGCAGTGTTTTTGTTTTTTTAAAGAAAGTGAAGATTAAATAAAACAGTTCCTTTGGCCACCTATAGCTCTGAGGGCAGCGTGCAACTCTTCAGCCAGAAGCTTTCTTGTCTGCAGGAAAAGGGTCTGGGTGGAGCCACCTGCAGGATGTGTAGCCTGGGCATGGTGAAGTCTGATAACAGCCTTACACGATGAGCAAAGAGAAATTGACACTGCAATCAGAAACCCAGACCAGATCTGAACTCAGTTACCCACAAGAACAGTCATACTTACCACTCATCTTTATCAGGTGGTAATTTATTCCTGATTTAAGGAAACAAGATTGAACTATTGGTAAACAGAGAACTTCAACAAAAATATTGGAGATGATGATCCTGCTGACTATTACTACCTCTGCTTCCTGGGAGCAACTTCACAGCCCTGAACTGCAGGTAGAGCTAGAACTGGGGTTCTCTCAAGGAAATGCTTTGCTGATAACAGGGAAGGCTACATAAACCCCCGCCCTGACTCTAGGCAAATCTAAATCTTATTAGGTGGATGGAAGGAGATTCTAGAACCTCCCATCTAGGTTTATATTATGTAAAGTTACCACGTGGCTACTGTCATTTTCTGATGTCCCTTTTTCACAGAGGTGTGTGTTTCCTTGAGGCTCCACATGACTTTGGTTTTTGTTTGCAGGGGTTGTGTATAATTACAGTGCACACGGTGTCCGGCGAGATGGAGCAGGGTGGGAGCAGAGCATAAGCATCCCATTACTGCAGCCCAACATGTATGGAATGATGGAGCAATGGGACAAGTACCTGGAAGACTTCTCCACCTCGGGGGCCTGGTTGCCTCACAGGTACGTGGCTGCAAAGGGCGACCGTCGCTGGCACTCACATGTTATTCAAGTGGGATCTCCGTATGGCCTCAGCTCACAGAGGACTCAGCAGCATTTAGCTTCACGTTGAGTTCACATGGAGATATTAGCATCTCTAACAGAATTTAAACAGGTTGAACTGCCTTAGGTTTTCTGCAGGTGGGTCGGCATACACATATAACAAAATCATAGCACTGGAAGAGGTAAAAGGACTAGAACCTGTACTCAATTATTTTAGTTATGTGACAAGGTATTTTTTACATATATACAGCAAGTCACGATATTTCCCTAAAACAAAAATTTTAAAAACCAATGTTCAGGCCGGGCACAGTGGCTCATGCCTATAATCCCAACACTTTGGGAGGTTGAGGCAGGTGGATCACCTGCGGTCAGAAGTTTGAGACCAGCCTGGCCAACATGGTAAAACTCCATCTCTACTAAAAATACAAAAATTAGCCAGGCATGGTGGCAGACACCTGTAGTCCCTACTTGGGAGGCTACTTAGGAGGCTTAAGCAGGAGAATCACTTGAACCCAGGAGGTGGAGGTTGCAGTGAGCCAAGATCGCGCCATTGCACTCTGTCTGGCCAACAGTGAGGCTCCGACTCCAAAAAAGAAAAAAAAAAACAAACCAAAAACAATGCTCAAAATGTAAAAATACTTAAGTTTCTATTTTGTAATTTTAGCAATTTCAACTTAATTTCTCAATTCCTCTCTCCCAACATTTCAGAAGATGTCTTTTTGTAGAGATGGGGTTTCATTATGGTGGCCTGGCCAGTGTCAAACTCCTGACCTCAAGTGATCCTCCCACCTTAGCCTCCCAAAGTGCTGGGATTATAGGTGTGAGCCTCTGTGCCTGGCCTGAATTGCACATTTTGAAGCTTCTTAACCACATGAGCCAGCACACTCAGAAGCTCTGCTCACTGAGGCACCCAATTTCCGTTAGGAAAGGCCTTTGTTATCTTCACGGCCTGTTCCTGAGCAGCCTTTTCCTCCCAATGCCTTTGTTCTCTTCAAGGTATGAAGAAGACCACTACAACTGCTACACTTACACACTCATGTTCATTAACTGCGTTCTGATGGCAGAAGGTAGAGAGCAACTGGATAAGAGTGAATTTACCGAGAAGTACGTGGTCCCTCGGACAAGGCTGGCATCCAAATACATCACACTTTACCGGGCAATAAAGGAGCATGGCTTCTATATCACTGACCGTCCCCAGCAGGAGGCACAAGCCCCTGAGGGCAGCGGTTTGTGCTGAGAGCTACGTAAGTGCAGTCCGGACAATGCGGGTAGGGAGTTTGCTACCTTTCATCAGTACTATGGATTTCTAAATGCACTTAACTGTGGTCAATAAAAACGTGTATGGGTTGGGCACTGTGTCTCACACCTGTAATCCCAGTACTTCGGGAGGCTGAGGCAGGCAGATCGTCTGAGGTCCGGAGTTCAAGACCAGCCTGGCCAAAACGGTGAAACCCCGTCTCTACTAAAAATATAAAAATTAGCCAGGCGTGGTGGCAGGTGCCTGTAATCCCCGCTACTTGGGAGGCTGAGGCACGAGAATCGCTTGAACCCAGGAGGCAGAGGTTGTAGTGAGCCAAGATCACAGCACTGCATTTCAGCCTGGGCGACAGAGCGAGATTCTATCTCAAGAAAAAAAAGTGCATAGTAAGCTCATGACAGTGAACCATAGTAAAACAAAACAAAACCAAAACCCCCCTCAGAATCTAAATCAGGAAATGGTTACTCCTTTTAAATGAGCTCTTCAGGGTCTATTTGCACAAATGGGCCTGGCAATGCCTCGCATCAGTAAAATTCCAGCCTGTGTCCTTTTCATTTGGCTTGACCCAACACATGGAAGTTCAAGAGTTGGGTTTGCCGCCACAAAATACTTCCTATGCCCACTGGAAAGGCAGAGTTCAGAAAGGACACAAAGAGAGGGTTATCTTCTTTCTCTGATACCTTCAGGAGGAGTCTGGGGAAACTGGGATCAGTAACTGTGGGGATTTTTAACAAGTATGTTGGAATTTGTGTACCGATAGAATCATCGAACTTCAAAAGGCCAACATGCAAAACATTCCTGAATTTCTCTTTGGAAACTTCTTCCAGAACTCACTTTTTGATGAAATGTGATGTACTACTTTACTTAATCTTATTCCCCAACCTTGGTACCAATTGATGTCTAATTTCCAAAAAACAAAAACCCATCTTTTTTTTTTTTTTTTTTTTTTGAGACGGAGTTTCGCTCTTGTTACCCAGGCTGGAGTGCAATGACGCGATCTCGGCTCACCGCAACCTCCGCCTCCTGGGTTCAGGCAATTCTCCTGCCTCAGCCTCCTGAGTAGCTGGGATTACAGGCACGCACCACCATGCCCAGCTAATTTTTTGTATTTTTAGTAGAGACGGGGTTTCACCATGTTGACCAGGATGGTCTCGATCTCTTGACCTCGTGATCCACCCGCCTCGGCCTCCCAAAGTGCTGGGATTACAGGCTTGAGCCACCGCGCCCGGCCAAAAACCCATCTTAAAGGCAACAATAACTGCCTTATGTTAAAATAACTTAGGGGGAAGCCATTACACCAAGATGGATCCAATATCCAGTTCCAAATTAAACTAAATGAAACTTAAGCTCAGCTAATCCTAAATAGCCAACTGAGCATCAGTTACACAATCAGATACTTGCCACTGGGATAACCTAAATAAGGCAACAGCTCAAACTTCAACCAACTTCTCGCCCATGCCTCCTCATATAGCCTCTAAAAGCCTCCCTTCACACTCTTCCCGGGAAGCCCCAACCACTTCAGTTGTGGTGCGGCTTGATTCCATGAATGGCTCTTTGCTCAAATAAACTCTTTAGATTCTAATGTGCTTTATCCTTTAACATTAGGAATAAAGATATTCAGAAAACTTGCTACAGATCCTTAAAGCTTGTTTCCTAAGAGGCATTCAGTCCACGTTTCAGCAGTTAACTTCAGTGGGAAAGAATGCATGGCACAGCAACATTGCATTTACAAGCTCAGGTACTTTCCTTTAAAGAAATACAAAACTGGGCCGGGCGCGGTGGCTCAAGCCTGTAATCCCAGCACTTTGGGAGGCCGAGGCGGGTGGATCACAAGGTCAAGAGATCGAGACCATCCTGGTCAATATAGTGAAACCCCGTCTCTACTAAAAATACAAAAAAAAAATTAGCTGGGCACGGTGGCGCGTGCCTGTAATCCCAGCTACTCCGGAGGCTGAGGCAGGAGAATTGCCTGAGCCCAGGAGGCGGAGGTTGCGATGAGCCGAGATCGCGCCATTGCACTCCAGCCTGGGTAACAAGAGCGAAACTCCGTCTCAAAAAAAAAAAAAAAAAAAAAAAAAAAAAAAAAGAAATACAAAACTGCCGACCCAGAATTTGATACCATTTTAAGCAAAACTGTGACTGGTATTCCATGGTGTTCGAGAAGTCAACAAAACCCCAGACGGTAAAGATGAAAGAATTCCAATTTGCTTCCATTCTCTTCACATTTTATACTAGAATTCAGCTTCTCTAGTCTCTTTACCAATTATAACAGCAGCTGCATTTAATGAGTATTCATAAAGGACTCCACCCCAGAAGAAACACTTATTCTTCTTCCTTACCAATCCTCAAGACCATCCTCTGAGGTAGGTCCTAACATTATGCCTCTTTTACAATGAAAAGAGAAATTGAGGAAATTATTTGTCCAAAGTCATACAGTGGCAAAACTGGGGTTCAAACCAAGGCTTGACTGCAAAAGCTGTGCCCTTAACCCCTGGGCCACACTGCAGAGGTCAAGAGGACAACCCCCAGCAAATTGGAAGGGACCAAGTGTACCTAGTATGTGCAGAAACTAGGTCAATACCTTGCCATCATTAGAGAAGAAAAAGGAGAAAATAAGGATTTGTTTTTATCAACATTCAAACATGGAAAGGAGGTAAACAATAAAAGTCAGCTAAAATAAATAATATAAGGAATGCCTATTTTATGCTAATTTCCCTTAGGGGCTGCACCTCTGTTCTTTTTATTTTCTTGGAGACAGGGTCTTCCTCTGTTGCCTAGGCTGAAGTCCAGAGGCAGGACAATGGCTCACTGCAGCCTCAACTCCTTGGGTTCAGGCAATTCTCCTACCTCAGCCTTCCTGGTAGCTGGGACTACAGGTACATGCTATCACACCCAGTTAATTTTTAAAAAATTATTTGTAGAGACAGGGTCTCACTATGTTGCCCAGACTGGTCTCTAGTGATCCCCCCTACTTCAGCCTCTCAATGTGCTGGGATTCTCACCCCTTTTCAAGGAAAGCTTTAGATTTCCTATTTTAGGGGATGCTCTCCAATCTGGGGGTGACATTGGCAAAAGCTGGCCTCATACTTCTTCTGTCTCAATTTTCTGCAGGCCATGAATTCCCTCCTTTTTCATTTTGTTTGTTTGTTTTTTTTGTGTGTCAGTTTTGCTCTTGTGCCCAGGCTTGAGTGCAGTGGCATGATCTACACTCCACTCCCAGGGGCTGGCCCCATGCCTTCTAAGGATGACTGCCCAATTCTTGCCCCTAGGCTCCTCAGAAGACAGGATGGAGCTGATTTAGCTTGCTCCAAGACGGAGCAGCACCAGCACATAGGCCTTCAATAAATCTCTTGCCTCATTCCACATTTTGTGCACAATGTCTGTATTTGTCATCAGGTGGGTGGGCTGATCTTCAAAAAGCACATTTCTGTTCTCAACCCACATTTAGCTCTGAATATAAAGCAAACTGACATGGGTCTCCTCAGTCTCTTGCCAGTTTAGTGTAGAGTTGTTCCTTTCAGGAAGGGGACACTGTTATGCATCACGTTTTTTTTTGAGATTAGGTCTCACTCTGTCACCCAGGCTGGAGTGCAGTGGGGTGATCTTGGCTCACTGCAGCACCAACCTTCCAGGCTCAAGCAATCTTCCTGCCTCAGCTTCCCAAGTAGCTGAGACTACAAGTGCGTGCCACCATGCCTATTTATTTATTTATTTAGTAGAGACAGTTTCCCTATGTTGCTAAGGCTGGTCTCGAACTCCTGGGCTCAGGAGATCCTCTCGCCTCAGTCTCCTAAGGTGCTAGGATTATAGTGATTTTTGAGCTCTCCTTTACCCACGCAACACCACAATGAGGTAAACATCATTAGTCACATGCCAGACATAAGAAAACTGAGGTTAGCAAGGGCAAGTAGATTGCCCAAGGCGCACCACCACAGAGTTGAGATTTGAAGTTCCTTTCTAGAAGGTTCACTTCACTACTGTTTTCAGAATTATCTCTGGGGAATTAAAAGCCAAGTACCACACACTGCACCAAGGTTCTTACCCTTGCATCCATAGGTGGTCATCATAGAATCTTTCTGATGCTGCTTCCAAAATCACAGGCATAACCGGTAAGCAAGGGGGCCTCAGCCTGCACCCCACCCGAGGTGGAGGACTGTGTGGGAGCACAAAGCTGGCCCCGCCTGATGTGGTGGGTGACCTTCCTTGTTCACCACCACCACCAGACAACAGGGCTGTATTTCTGACTACATGTAATTTTTAGAATAGTGTATTTTCAGCTGAGATAGCAATCTCGGGTCAAGTCCTCCAAGTGCATGACTGGTAGTGACGCATGCCCACCATCTCTGAGCTTCAAACACCTCTCTGTGGGTCCCTCCTGAATTCACAAGGCTGCTGCCGGGATACACAGGCATCTGCCCCATCTCAACTCCCACTCTCCAAATGTTCTGAATGTTTGCTATCATGGTTTGCAAAATATTTTACCCCATATTGGCTATCCAAATTAAATATAACAAATATGTAAGGGCTTGCAGCAAAATTTTATTCAAGTAGTATCTGGACCAGATAAAAGGATGTAGCTCAGACTATCACCTTAGCTGATCACCCAACGTTTGTTTAGTGTGCGGTGTATTATCATATTGTCTTCCCCAGTTTACTATGTGAAAATGTCTCCAAAGGAAAAGGCCCATGAAACAAGGTAACTTTTCGAGGCCTAGGATGTCCCACTAGAAAAAAAAGGTGGGTGGGGGCTGAGCGCAGTGGCTCAAGCCTGTAATCCCAGCACTTTAGGAAGCCCAGGCGCACGGATCACCTGAGGTCAGGAGTTCAAGACCAGCCTGGCCAACATGGTAAAACCCCATCTTACTGAAAATTCAAAGATTAGCCAGCCATGGTGGCACATGCCTGTAATCCAAGCTACTTGGGAGGCTGAGGCAGAAGCAGCACTGGAACCTGGGAGGCAGAGGTTGCAGTGAGCCGAGATGATACCACTGCACTCCAGCCTGCCTGGACAACAGAGTGAGACTCATCTCACCAAAAAAAAAAAAAAAAAAAAAAAAAAAGAAAAAAAAAAAGGAAGTAATAAAGTTTACTGAGAAGGGTAGACACTGAAGATAAAATCCTTGCCCAGCATGTGTCCACCATTTGTGTGTCTAATGTTTTGCGCTGGGTGACAAGACTTGTGGAAATACTGTTGGTTCCAGAATGGCGTTCTTGAGCATGGTGTACTAAAGCTAGTGAAATTCTTGTGCTAAGGATGCCTGGCCAGTCGGCCTGATGCCACTGAGACAAAGCTGATGCGGCAGAAGGCTCTGAACACCACTGGAGAGCTGAAAAAGTGGTGGAGGAGAGATGATTTGGGGAAGGATTCTAGCTAATTTAAAAGCAAGTCTGGAAAGGTCAAGAGATAACCACCTAAACCTGATCATTTTGACGAGTATGAGCAAAGCAATTGCTACTCTAGGTGAGGCTGTACCATCTCCACAGTGAACTACGGGAAAACTCCTGCAGGTGGTTTTAACCACAGAGCAAATTTCTAATCTTGATGAACCTGTTTTTGGCTTGAAACAAAAAGAAATGCTATCTTGTACATTTCAGAAGAAAACATGTCAGGACATAAAACCTCCAAAGATAGGTGAATACTGCTGTTAACTGGAAATTGTGACAGTAATGTTAAATGAAACCCTTGCTAATGTATCATTCCAGAACCCAGGGGCCCCTGGGTGATGCTGAAGACTGCTCAGCCTGCTCTATGGTGTCCAAATTGTATACATGAAGAAAAGTCTTTCATAAAGACTTCCTTGACTAAAGATGATCCTTCTGGGGGAGGAAGGCAGCAAATCACACTGCCACGTGTGTACTTATGCAACAATCTTGCATGTTCTTCACATGTACCTCAAAACCTAAAATGCAATAATAATAAAAAGATGATCCTTCTGGACATTCTTCTAGAGATTTCAGTTGCAAATAATATTGGTATGGTCTTTTGGCTTTTCAATACCACATCACTGCAACCTGCATGCCCAGGAGTCACCACAACCTTCGGGGCATATTAGTTGATGATAAAGTATCTGATGTAGGTTGCTGATATTTAATGGAAGAATTTTTGTTTGTTTACCATAAAGAAGTGTCACCACAAATATGAATGAAATAAGGAAGAAAAGGCCCCTGATATTTTTTTGCTGACTATCAAGGTTTTGTGAAAATGACTCAAAGCAAAAAATCTTTGGCCTCACGGTAAGCAAGATAGACAGTAAAAATGTTGAACTACGGCATCACTAATGAGGAGCTGCACAGACACTCTTTCTGCTAAGAAACACTTCCAACTGATGGTTCCTTCTGGTTTAAGGCAGGGGAGGAAGGAGGTCCATAATTTGAACAAAATTTTAACTCCCCCCACCCTTGCTCCTAGAACTAAGAACACCTTTTAAAATATATTTATTTTTGAGACAGAGCCTCACTCTGTCGCTCAGAATGGAGCACACTGGCATGATCATGGCTCACTGGAACCTCTAATTCCTGGTCTCATGTGATCCTCTCAGCTCAGCCTCCTGAGTACCAGGTATTACAAGTCCATGTCACCACACCTTTCGATGCCTTTAAAATCTAGATCATGCAGAAAGAATGAGTTTGTTGTAAAGAGAGCAGGATCGTGGCATGAACAGAAGCACTAAATTAAAAATAACTTCAAGCAGAATCTTACGTTGCCAGGATTTCTAAAACCACAGGTCAAGGGAATGCGAACAGATGCCCATTTTGCTTTTTTCCATCTCATAGCTTCCAAAGATGGTTCCATCCACTTCTGAAGTCTTGAATGCTAAGAAGACTATCCACCAGTTTCTGGAATTTAGACACTGAATAAATCTCAGACATCTGTCTCTCTCAGGCCTTCACTGGCTCACTCCAGCTCTCGTCCCTCTACCACCAAAGAGTAACTATCCCCACTTCCATTTTCCATTCCCCTCCACCTTTTTTTTTTTTTTTTTTTGAGACAGGGCCTTGCTCTATCACTCAGGCTGGACTGTGGTAGCACGACCTCTGCTCGCTGCAGCCTCTGCCTCCTGGGCTCAACTGATCCTCCCACCTTAGCCTCCTGAGTAGCTGGGATTACAGGCATGTGCTACGACGCTCAGCTAATTTTTGTTGGTAGAGAGGTTTTATCATGTTGCCCAGGCTGGTCTTGAACTCCTAGGCTCAAGCGATCTGTGCACCTGGGCCTCCTACAGCCTCCCAAGTGCTGGGATTATAGGTATGAGTCACTGTGCCCAGCCACCCATTTCCTTCCTCTTGCCATCAAATGCCCTTAGGTAACTTAAGTCTTCATGACTTTCTCACCAATTAAAAAAAGGCTTTATTACATTTTGCTAAGTGTAAACTGCTTTCATTATGTCTTCAAACATTATTTAACCACTCATTTTTATAACAAGTTCAGTGAAGATATTATCTAATATTGTACAACATTGTTGTGTTCTATACATAAACATGCCTAGCATTGAGTTCATTTGAGAATTACATAATCAGGTAACTGATGTCTTAAAGGCTTTGTGATAAAGAAATCCTTGGTAGGTACTGAAGGGACTTTTCAGTGTTTTGAGCTATTGGTTAAAGTTCTTGGATAAGCTGAGACACATAACTATTCTTTCCATTTAAAATAATGGACATGGATCCATGTAATTACTAAATCTGCTAATATTCTTTCAAGAACAGCTTAGATGTAGTTAACAACGGATGCCTGTGTATGAAAGTGCTTCATAAACTATACTGTATAAATGTAAACTACCACCATTTTCAGGTAAAATCAGAGAACAAATGTCCCTGTTGTTGGAAGAGTTCTCAGTACTCATCTAGTCCAACCTCCTCAGTGACCGGATGAGGGCACCGACTGAGGCCAGAGGCACGAGGCTCAGGGTTGGAGAGTTAGAGGCCATCGCAAGGACAGAACCTGCAGTCCCAGCACAGGGATCCTTCTCCTCCCCTGTGTAATTTATCTTGAAAAACACTGATAGTTTTCTGGCGCTGGGAGCACCATGCCCTTTAAAGCTTACAAATCAATGGATGATTACAGTAAACTTTTTACCTAGCCCTCAATAAATAGTTGTTGGTGAAATTAGAAATTTGAATTTCTAATTTCAAAGGTTGAATTGTTAAAGTTCGTCTTGGTCACTCCTCTCTCGTGAAGAAACCCATCGACTCAGAATCACCTCCTGCAACCAATCAAAATAAAAGACAATTTCTTAAAACGGAAATGGAAGACCATTCTGGGTAGTTGATACCACAGCTACATTTCACAAACACTTGTCTAGATAATGATGATACTGTTCCCATCTTTGTAACAGAAACATCTGGAAAAAATGAATGTAACAATATAAACCTTACGAGCAAATAGCATCCACTTTCACCAGGCAGATTTTAAAAGCTAAGCTTGCCTTTGCTGTGGTGTTCTACCAGCACATTTCAGGAACAGGTGGGCTGGATAAAAGACAGGATTTTACATTAGAGCTAGGTCTGTGATGGCGTTGCTGTAACTGGGCCAGCTACTGAGAAGGGAGAAATGAGGTTGAACAGCATTTTATGAAAAACTAGCCTAGTGGAGATAAGTGGGACCAACTGAAGGGAGGAGGTGCTGGCGCCTTGGAGACCGACCGGCAGGTCTGCAGGGGGCAGGGTGGTGTGAAAAGAAGAAAGGGTGACGTGTACAAGAGAGGATGACAACAATGACATACTTGACGTGGGGAGGAGCTAATAGCAATGTTAAGGCTCTACACACAGAAGGAGGGAATGCAGAAACATGGACACACTAGACAACTCAGCAAGACCAGAGAGAAACCAGCCAAGACAACAGGAGGTGCCTTAGTTCAATACAGAAGCCCCGAAGTAGAAGTGAGTCAACAGGGATACCTCCGGTCTCTGGGAATGAGACCTGTGAAAGGTCCTGGCCTGACCAGGAGGTCACAGGCTATCTGTGAGAGAGCAGTTTCAGCTGAGTGATGAGGACATCATAGGTAAAGAAGTGGGGAATTAAGGAATAGTGGAAGTCAGCATAGATTTTGTGTCCAATGGGTTCAGTGGGGAAAAGGTGACAGACTTAAAGAGCCTAAGAAGGCTCTCTATTACCAAGGCAAGACTATATTCATTTATTTGCTTGGGACCACATGTTCCAGTACACCATGATGCATAGAATCTTTGGGATGACACTGATTTCTCTGTTTACCCACCTGAACTTTAATTCTTTTCATACATTCTGGTGACTCCATTTCCTTGTCAGTCATAGTAGAGGGTTTAATCAAATAGCACAGCATAAGTTCCTATTGAGAAATGAAAAACCACTTCTGTATCCTACAAAATAATAGTAAAAATGTGGGTACATCAGCAGGAAATGCAGGTAGTCTCCAGACCTTCTCACTGTGCACTCCTGGAATCACCAAAAGTGAAAACTCACAGAGCACATCAGTGTCCTCCTGGGGACATCATAATTGGGATTTAGATTTTGACTAGGTACCTGCCATTTAGCAATCGCCAAACATGGCAAGAGGTAGAAGCAGATTCATCTATCATAAACACAGCATTAAGAATACAAAATATAGTAAGTTCTCACTTAAGGTCCTTGATAGGTTCTTGGAAACTGACTTTAAGCAAAACGATGTTGATATGGGTTGGCTGTGCCTCCACCCAAATCTCATCCTGAACTGTAGTTCCCACAATGCCCATGTGTCATTGGACGGACCTTGTGGAAAGTGATTAGATTATGGGGGCAGTCCCCATGCTGTTCTGGTGATAGTGAGTTCTCACGAGATCTGATGGTTTTATAAGGGGCTTCCTCCTTCACTCATCTCTCATTCTCGCTCCTGCCACCTTATGAAGAGGTGCCTTCCACCATGATTTTAAGTTTCCTGAGGTCTCCCCAGCCATGCGGAACTGTGAGTCAATTAAACCTCTTTTTTAAAAATAAATTACCCGGTCTTAAGTATTTCTTTATAGCAGCATGAGCATGGACTAACACAGTACAGCAGGTCTTCAAATAAACTTCAACATTGTTTTCTCATAATGATGTTAAGAAAAAATGGTTTTGTTACATGGCATTCGCTTAAAGACTGCAGTTTCCAAGAACATATCGGCAATGTTAAGTGAGGACATATTAAGTATATGCTGAGTTCCCTAAAGTGGGCATAAAAATACTGGAAACAGTATAGGCTCCCTAATTTTCTACAGGACCAAGCTAAAGCCTAGGCAACCTAACCTGCTCTCAAGGGCAGTCATCTCCAGCCTGGCAGGACCCTCTGGCCTCAGTCCCACCTCACCTCCAGCAGCATGAGGACGAAGTTGGAGGGTATCTACAATTTGTTCTCAGCCAGCAAATCACTGAGGAATGACAACACACACAGCTTTCCTTCTTGATAGTCCTTATATAAGCTGAGTCCCTCCTATCTCTGATGGCAACAGGAAGGATACAGTGAAACACAAGCTGGGGAGCCAGACAACTGTGAGTTTGGATCCCAAGTCTGCACATGAGCTGTGTGATCTTGGATTAGTCATTCAATGGCTTGGTTTCTCATACTCAGGATGAGAGTAACAACAGGGTAAGAAAGTGCTTAGCAGTCAGTACCAGGTCCCTTCCTCTCTAAGAGATCTGCAAACTTTCACTGTTTTGACTCCTTTGTGAATACATGGGTAAGTGAATGTTAAGCTGCAGTATGAACCAGGCCACACAGCAACAATACCGCTGGGAAGAGAGGCAAGGCCTATCTGGATCAGATCGCCACAGGAGACTTCAAAGCTCAGTCACTGAAGCTCAGCAGCAGTTGGGAAGGAGGACAACTTCTAGCGCATAAGGGAAGGGTCCAAATGACCCCAAATGTTCCAGCATGTCACTGGCAGGAATGTTATGAAGTTTCTACAAATAACTTTTTTGATTCTACATTTAAGAAAAACAAACGAACGAACGAACAAAACAAAATTGAGCCATTTAAGTGACACTCCAATGGCAAAGCTGATGTTATGTTACCTTAGAGACATTAACAGAAACTCTGCTCAAGGCAGCCAGGGACTTCCAACTGAATGGCCTGCGGAGAGAGCCTTCAAAATGGTCATCAACTAGCTCTATAATGACAGAATAACTGGAAAACACAGAAAAAGCATTTTAAAAGCATGAAATAAATCTGTTTAAAAAGAATTTGTCCTACCAAGAACAAAAATACAGAAAATACAATTTACATCATCTGATTCTAAATTCCCCTCGACTGCTATTGAGAAAATATTAATGAAAAATTCATACTTTAAGTTACAAACTTTCACGTTGATTCCAACACTTACAGAAAAAAAATGAGTATTTTTCCCCAATAGGAAAGCTGTCAATTCAAACAACTGTTTAGATACTAATACTAACTGATGTTAAGATGAACAATTATGGCACAGATTAACTCAATGTTTAACACTAGAACACATATGATCATAAACTACATATCATCCTATATATAGTATAGACATTAGTGTGTAAGGCATGAACAGACAGCAGCTATTCCTATCAGGCCAGGAAGAACAAACTTTTGTTCCTATGGTACCAAAAAATTAGAGTCCAGAAATTCCTTGTGTCCCTTTAACCCATTAATTTATTTAAAAATCACTCCAAACCTTGCATGGTAAAATGGAGGGCCTTTCCGATATAGCACTGCAAAGAAGAAAGAGAAAACAAGTATAACCATTCAAAATGATGAGAGAGGAATAAGACTCAATAAAAAGCTAGTTTTATTAATTTTTTTCTTCTCCAAAAGGAGGCAAATATTCAGTTACCTCTATGCAGACACATAATCTGCAATATGCCTTGTGGTCTATTTTTTCAGACAGGGTCTTGTTCTGTCAGCCAGGCTAGAGTACAGTGCCATGATCATGGCTCACTGCAAACTTTGACCTCTTGGACTTAAATGGTACTCCCCAATCAGCCTCCTGAGTAGACTGGACTACAGGCATGCACCACCTCGCCCAGCTAATTTAAAATTTTTTGTAGTGATAGGGTCCCACTATGTTGCCCAGGCTAGTTTTAAATTCCAGGGCTTGAGTGATCCTCCTACTTCAGCCTCCCAAAGTGCTGGGATTACAGGTGTGAGTCACCACACCTAGCCCCTGTCATCTATTTTAAAAATTCAAACTATCATTTTTTTTTTTTTTTTTTGAGACGGAGTTTCGCTCTTGTTACCCAAGCTGGAGTGCAATGGTGCGATCTCGGCTCACCGCAACCTCCACCTCCTGGGTTCAGGCAATTCTCCTGCCTCAGCCTCCTGAGTAGCTGGGATTACAGGCACGCGCCACCATGCCCAGCTAATTTTTTGTATTTTTAGTAGAGACGGGGTTTCACCATGTTGACCAGGATGGTCTCGATCTCCTGACCTCGTGATCCACCCGTCTTGGCCTCCCAAAGTGCTGGGATTATAGGCGTGAGCCACTGTGCCTGGCCCAACTATCTTTTTTTTAAAGATGGGGTTTCACCATGATGGCCAGGCTGGTCTTGAACTCCTGACCTCAGGTGATCCACCCACCTCGGCCTCCCAACATGCTAGGATTACAGGCGTGAGCCACTGCGCCTGGCCAAAATTCAAACTATCTTTTCCCTAAAACAAAGTGCAATTCGTAAAGAAATCTGTTGTCAAGACCCTAACACCTCATCTCACCCCACAAATAAATTCCAAAGTCAAAGTACAGGCAATCTTGCCTTACCTCTTGTCTTACATGATCCAGAGTAAGTGTGGATCATATCAGGAGTGTAAAATTCACAGATTGTGGACCAATATCTTGTTATTCATTTCAGATCAATGTAATGCAAAGTGTCTGACTCACTACTCTGGCCGACTGTGATAGGGGTTGGTAAAAGAGAGGAGTAAGACTCATGTCTACTTTTAAGAAATTCAAAGTCAAGTGATAAGTGATGGAAGTCATAACCATACATGCCATTCAAGTATCAGTCTACTCTACTATTGAGGACCTTAAGGAGATGGGGGAATTCAGTCTGTGGAGGTCAGGAGCCACTTAGTGAAGGAGCATGGGCCCAGGGACTCTGCCACATAGACATAGAATCTGGCAGAGAGCCCTTCAGAGGCACATGGTCTGTGGCAGGGACTGGCTAACTCTTCACAAACTCTACTTATTTCTCCCCCAGGTATGTGGCCAGACCACAGCTCTCAGTCTCTTGTACAGTTAGGTACGGCCATGTGTTGTGTGACACATCCAGGCTGACCCGTAAAATCCTCCCTTGTACAAACCCTCCTGGTGCCTCTTCCTTTCTGAAGGTGACCTTGGAAGCTGTGTGCTGAAGACTGGGAGCCACTAGGAAGCAGACTGGGTTCCTAAAGCATCTTTTGGAGTTGATCAGCCCGCCAATCAGAGACACCCGGGTTGGATTTCACATGAACAAAAATGAACTCTATTGTTAAGCCCCTGAGACTTGGGGTTTATATGTAACTACAGCTATGGGAATTGTCATAAGTAACACGATTACATCTGTAAGCTGTTAGCTGTCCTTTCCCTGGAGGAACTGGTAGAATTTTCCTTTTTGGACGTATCAATCCTGTAACTAATCATGTTTTTCTCTGGCTCAGGAAGCTCAGAGCCAAATCTGTAGCATGATTTTAGTAACTATATAGGACCCCAAGGACGACGTAGTAACCCTTCACTTAGTCTTGATTTGCATCTATATTTTCCATGGTCACATTTCCTTTCTGTATCTCCTATTTAAGTTATATTTAAAGTACTCGACAAGTCAGCTCAAATTCACTGTGGCACAAATTTAAATAACTATCCAAACATACAATTCTCAACTTTTTGAGATGCAGTATACTGGAAGGAAACCATGCAATGGAACGAAAGTGAACTCAGGAGTTTTGTTCCCTGACCAACGTTTGACTCTTCAAGTTGTGTGCCTTTAGGCAAGTTATTAACTTCTCTGAGCTTCAGCTTCCAAAATCCTAAAATGAAGACATGAGGAAACTGAGACCTTTTCTAGTCCTCAAATGGCATTACCTGTGATCAAACAGACATTAATCCAATATGCACCTGGAGCATTACAGAGCTTGAAAGCAGCTCACTAGGTAGGTCATTTCTGATGATGGGTTCCAACACAGCACAGCTTATAAGCCAGAACACTGGCAGCAGACAGAACTGAGGTCAAGTCAGCAGTGCCAAGACCACAGGACAACTCTGCATGTCAATTTCCTTATAAAGATGGGGGTTGAGCCACCCAGCACTTTGGGAGGCCAAGGCAGGCAGATTATGAGGTCAGGGGATCGAGACCACCCTGGCCAACATGGTAAAACCCTGTCTCTAATAAAAATACAAAAATTAGCTGGGCGTGGTAGCGCATGCTATAATCCCAGCTACTCAGGAAGGTGAGGCACGAGAATCGCTTGAATCCAGGAGGTAGAGGCTGAGGCTGCAGTGAGCTGAGACTGCGGCACTGCGCTCCAGCCTGGTGATGAAGTGAGACTGTCTTAAAAAAAAAAAACAGGGGTTATGGTGAAGGCCGAAGTATTAGCACAGTGTATGGCATATAGTAAGCATCATGAAATTACCTATGCTAGTAACGATTACAATCTGCGTGGCTTAATGACAAAGATACGTTCTAGGACATGAGTCCTTAGGCAATCTCCTTGTTGTGTAAACAAGATAGAGTGTAGCTACACAAACCTAGATGGTACAGCCCACTACACACCTAGTCTATGTGGGATCGCCTATTGCTCCTAGGCTACAAACCTGTTCAGCATATGACTGTGCTCAATCTGTAGACAATTATAACACAATGGTAAGTATCTGTGTATCTAAACATAGACTAAACACAGAAATGGTATAGTAAAAATACGGCATAAAAGATAAAAAACGTACATCTGTATAGGGCACTTAAGAATGCAGCCTGCAGGTCTGGAAGTTGCTCTGGGTGAGTGAGTGGTTAGTGAATGTGAAGGTCTAGGACAATACTGTGTGCTATTGTATACTTTATAAGCACTGCACACTTAGGCTGCACTAAATTTATTAAAAAATTTTTTTCTAGGCCGGGTGCGGTGGCTCAAGCCTGTAATCCCAGCACTTTGGGAGGCCAAGGTGGGTGGATCACAAGGTCAAGAGATCGAGACCATCCTGGTCAACATGGTGAAACCCCGTCCCTACTAAAAAGACAAAAAATTAGCTGGGCATGGTGGCGTGTGCCTGTAATCCCAGCTACTCAGGAGGCTGAGGCAGGAGAATTGCCTGAACCCAGGAGGCGGAGGTTGCGATGAGCCGAGATCGCACCATTGCACTCCAGCCTGGGTAACAAGAGTGAAACTCTGTCTCAAAAAAAAAAAAAAAAAAAAAATTTTTTTCTTTCAGCCGGGTGCAGTGGCTCATGCCTGTAATCCCAGCACTTTGGGAGGCTGCAGGTGAATCATGAGGTCAGGAGTTTGAGACCAGCCTTGGCAACGTAGTGAAACCCCATCTCTACTAAAAATACAAAAATTAGCTGGGTGTGGCATGCATCTGTAGTCCCAGCTACTTGGGAGGCTGAGTCAGGAGAATCTCTTGAACCTGGGAGGAGGAGGTTGCAGTGAGCCGAGAACGCACCACTTCGCTCCAGCCTGGGTGACAGAGGGAGATTCCGTCTCCAAAAAAAAAAAAAAAAAAAAAAAAAAATTTCTTTTTTTTTTTTTTTTTTGAGACAGAGTTTCGCTCTTGTTACCCAGGCTGGAGTGCAATGGCGCGATCTCGGCTCACTGCAACCTCTGCCTCCCGGGTTCAGGCAATTCTCCTGCCTCAGCCTCCTGAGTAGCTGGGATTACAGGCACGCGCCACCATGCCCAGCTAATTTTTTTGAATTTTTTAGTAGAGACGGGGTTTCACCATGTTGACCAGGATGGTCTCAATCTCTTGACCTTGTGATCCACCCGCCTCGGCCTCCCAAAGTGCTGGGATTACAGGCTTAAGTCACCGCGCCTGGCCTTTTTTTTTTTTTTTTTTAAATAGAACGACATGGCCTACCTATGTTGCCCCGGCTGGTCTTGAACTCATGAGCTCAAAGGACCCTCTTGCCCTGGACTCCCAAAGTGCTAGGATTACAAGCATGAGCGCCATGCCCAGCCTCTTTCTTCAATAATAAATTACCCTGGCTGGGAGCAGGCCAACAATACAATGAACCATGATGGATATGACTATGTTCCCATAAGATTATAATGGAACTGAAAAATCCCTATCCCCTAATGATATTGTGGCCATGGTGCTGTCATAGGGCAATGCACTACTTGCATGTCTGTGGTGATGCTGGTATGAACAAACCTACTGTGCTGCCATTTGTATAAAAGTTCTTTGACCAAAATGTTATGCAGCACATGACTGTATGATGGTGATAGTGTACTCAGGGGGAAAAATGAAATCATTTAACAAAAACACCTCCCAAGTAGAAAGATGAAAGCATAAGAAGTCTGAGAAATAGCGGGCATTTAAAAAAAGACCTGAGAGCTAGGTATGGTGGCTCAGGTCTGTAATTCCAGCACTCTGGGAGGCTAAGGCAGGGGGATCGCTTGAGGCCAGGAGTTCGAGATCAGCCTGGTCAACATGGTGAAACCCCATCTCTACCAAAAATACAAAAAAAAAAAAGTTAGCTGGGTGTAGTGGTGTGTATCTGTAGTCCCAGCTACTTAGGAGGCTGAGGTG